TCCATGATAACCAACAATGTTGTTTAGACCCAGACGAACATTCCATGATAATCAACAATGTTGTTTAGAGCCAGACGAACATTCCATGATAACCAACAATGTTGTTTAGACCCAGACGAACATTCCATAATAATCAACAATGTTGTTTAGACCCACTTTCAATAAAACATTAAAAATCTTGTCAATCGAAACCATTTTTCAACTTAGTCTAAGACAACCATGGTTTATCTCAATGTAATAACCCTCTATTCAATCAACTCTACCTTTACCTCACTGACATTATCAATAACCAATAATTCAGTATATTAATAACTTCCTTACTGGACAATACCTGTATTTCATCACACCTATTAACGTGTAGCTATTATCATCGAGTGGATCCTGCGTGTGAAGTTCTAACCAATTTATATGTTTGTAGGTTTCCCTTTTTCTTTCTCGTGATTTCATTGAATTGTTATAAAATATGCAAAAAAACAACTTATCTAATACAATAAGTAAATCAAATTAAATTTGCTTCAAACTTTTCAATGGGATGAATATCTAAACATTTAAACAAACGACAAAGATAAAGGGACGCTCCCTTAGTTGAAGCTTTCAGTTTAATTTATATAGGTTTTATTAACTGTGTGATTGAAAAAGTGTATTTTATATAATAAAATCATAAAAAAACAACAACAACTTAACCTTAAGAACACATCCCGAGATTTAAAATACTTATAAACCTGGAACTGTTTGAAAATAAAAATTAATTATTTTAAATACTATCTGATACAATGACGAAATGTACAGCTGAACAAGTTTATTTACACCTGAATAAACAGAATTGTTTAAACATCTGTTTAACAACGAGTAAAAGCTTGGAATGGTCTATTCTTTCACTGGGGTGTGTGTGTGTGTGTGTGTGTCTGTGAGCCAGACTAGTTTCGGAGAATTCCACTCCTCATCGGTGACCCTGGACCCTACCACCAAAGTCAGGTGTCAAATAATTTAGTTTATCTTAATGTCACTTAGGAATCAAAACTACATCTATAAATATATATCATTTAGAAAAACTAATTTTCCAGGCCTGTTATTTCTTGATAATTTTACTTTTTTAAACAGTTAACAACTGATCCAAGGGTTACAACTTAAAATGTGTTATCTTTACAAGTTTCTGTTTTTGTATCGTCTGTAAGTTATTATTTTTGTAATTTTCAAAAATGTAAGTTTCGATTCTAAGAGCTAGGTGATGAAACCCCTAACTCTACTCTCAAGAAACTCAACACAATAAAAACAAATGACCAATCATACCAGAACGGCATGAACTTTGTCACCATTTTAATTGTGTTTTAATTTTCCACAAGTGTAACGTCAAACACTAACTACGTGACAAGTGTTTCACTGACTGCTTGTGGTTTTAACCAGTAATCTCGGGATGCCTTTTCTATTCTTTCAAGAACTATCTAGCTTTCCCATTATCTAAATACTGTTTAATAAACAAATACATTATTTAATAAAAAAAAAGGTGGTGTCTGTATGTGAGTGACTTCCATAGCTCCAAGAGAAACCTGAAATTTTGCACCCATACTAAGTGGACCCTGAGGGTGAGCACCTGGATATTACTTATCCACATGCATCCATGCACCATAGTATATCTGTTAGGTCAACAACTTCTAATGTATAGAAAAGCCAGTGTGTTTTGGTAACACTACCTTCTAACAATGGTTTTTATGTCATGCTGCTTAGCAACAAAAGTATAACCTAATATTGTTGTTAGTCTATGTACTGAAAGTATAAAATAAAATGTATAGACAACAAAACTGGAAACATATTAGTTGGTTTCTTAATTTAGAGTCTCTGTTAATTAAAGAGGTTTGTTTTTTTATTAAAAACGGATATATAACAGAAAATAGCTTAATTCAGAAATGATTTAAGTTTAAAATTCACTCAACATTTGTATTTTCATGATAAATTTTATGCACTTGGCTCTAGACTATGTGATCCCACACAACGTCTTTACTTTAGGCTTATTATACCAACACTCACTACACTTATAAGGTTTCAGGGCAAACACTAGTTTTTATACAGGTTAGGTTCTGTTTTTACTGTTGGAATACTATGGTTAATGAGTTGGGTGAAACCACTTATTTTCTATGTAGAATGCATACTGTAGGTGGCTTGAATATTATTAACGACCATGTAACCAACAAAGTCATGGACCCCACAAGCAATTTGGGTTATAAACAGTTTAGAAAAGAACCCACCTGTAATTCTCAGGTAACCTATACACAATAACTAGTCTTTATATTTGAGATTCACAGGAAATGAGCTACAAATCTTAAGATTCAGCTTTATTTTAAAAACATACCTTTTATAAACTCACCAAATCATTGAGAAACACTGTTACTGGCTAAACAAACTGGTGGACACGACAACGACGACTTTTTGTTAAAACAAGCCACAAGTAATCTTCATCCTGGAAAGTATTTTATTTTTTAAAATTTATATCATATAAATTATCAGTTAACAGATTAAAAAAAAGCCTATCTACACAGCTCAGATCTAAAAATTAGCTCAGTAATTAATAACTACTTTACTATGCTGTTCTAACTAAGAATATACATTCTGATATTATTTAATGATTAGAATTAAAAACTGAATAACTTAATCTGCACATCTAAAGCTAGCGATACGAGCTTGATAAACCCTTAAAAGGTTACTGAACAACAACACAAGACATTTAAATAAAAAAATAATTATAACTAAAGTAACACATTACATAAACTTCTTAAAATTAAAGGTGAAATACATAGTTGTTATAGAACCTGAATGAAATTTCCAAAAATGTTAAATGTGAGATTGCTAATAATTAAGAATTAGATGTGATAAATTATCCTGCTTATGTTTGTAATGTATAGAAAATCTTGAGTTAATCCCTTTTAGAAATTAAGAAAAGTGAGTTCCACATACTGGATTATTTATAATCAGTTCCATATTATTTTAAAGTACATATTCTAAATCTTGCATTATCAGAGAAATTTTTTAATAATTTATAATGTTACACTTTCACTAAATCTGTGATCCACCTTGTTTTTAAAAGTTCACCGACATTTTTATATTTTATGATGACGTTTTGAACTTTTAACATTCACCCTTGACTCAAGATCCGTTATCCACAGTGATACCTTTCTAAATTTTTATCTTTCTTTTAACTCAAATTATTCTCTGAAATACTCCTATTCCAAAAATGTAGTGTTTCTATTCTAAGAGCTAGGTGACTAACCCTAAACTCATACTTTTAAGAAACTCAACAAAAACAAGTAATCATCATACCAGAACAGCATGAACCTTGTCACTGTTTTTGTTGTCCCTTAATTTTCCACAAGTGTAACGTCAAACACCAACTACGTGACAAGTGTTTCACTGACTGCTTGTGGTTATAATCAAAACATTATTTTTGATTCATTAAGAAAATATTTAGCTCTCTTTAGTATTTAAACACAATGTTTAATAAACTAAAATATGCTTATTTTGTAAATATATATATTATCTATATATATACATACATACCCGAGATCATAATCGCACACAAAACGCTGTGTTGAGACTTAGGCCTACAATGGTGATGCTGGCACACCATATTCCTTCTCACCCCCCAGGTAATGAAGAAATCCTGCCATAATGATGAGGGGTTGTAGCTGGTGTTAAAATTTGAGATCCAGGATTTACCCAATGACCTGAAAGATGCGCAATTCTTCGGGAATCCATAGTTTGGAGAAACCATTTTGGCCGAGCCATTGTTTGTCAGCTCTCTCTAGGAAGATTCCCCTATCCATCTGATGACCCAGATCTGCTCTTTAGCTTTCCCTAATTAAGTACAGAAAACAACTTGAGATCTAAGGGTGGCAATAAACAACATGTTTGACATGACAACCAATGATTCAAAAATGTAAGTTTCTATTCTAAGAGCTAGGTGATGAAACCCCTAACTCTACTCTCAAGAAACTCAACACAATAAAAACAAATGACCAATCATACCAGAACAGCATGAACTTTGTCACCGTTTTAACTGTGCTTTAATTTTCCACAAGTGTAACGTCAAACACTAACTACGTGACAAGTGTTTCACTGACTGCTTGTGGTTTTAACCAGTAATCTTTTCACAAACTATCTAGTTTACCCAATATCTGACGAGGATGTTTAATAAACAAATACATTCTTTAAAATTCTATACATAAATAATGCACATCTCTATATTAAGGTTCCGGCATTCTAGTTTTACACTTTTATCAAGAAATAGTTGTCGATGAAGCTCGGATAAGATAAAATAACTCTTCAGTATGTACGTGTTGATGTCTTAATTGTCTAAAATATTTAAAGTCAAAATATCAGTAATTGTATAAACAAGAATATTTCTTTAATAATAAGAGAAAAATAATGTTTCTCAAACTTCCCGTCTTGTTATTCAATTAAAACCATACCATATTTTAAAATTCCACAGACACCTAAATTACTTTCATAAGTTACAGAACTCACTGTTAACCTTAAAATGACTGACTTGCCCTTATATCTATCACAAACTGCATCAAGTACTGTTTATTGTGTAATGTTGTTTTCACAGTTATATCTATCACAAACTGCATCAAATACTGTTTATTGTGTAATGTTGTTTTCACAGTTATATCTATCACAAACAGCATCAAGTACTGTTTATTGTGTAATGTTGTTTTCGCAGTTATATCTATCACAAACAGCATCAAGTACTGTTTATTGTGTAATGTTGTTTTTGCAGTTATATCTATCACAAACAGCATCAAGTACTGTTTATTGTGTAATGTTGTTTTCGCAGTTATATCTATCACAAACAGCATCAAGTACTGTTTATTGTGTAATGTTGTTTTCGCAGTTACAATAAAAAACCGAACAAATCACCAATAGATTAAGTTCAATAATGATGGGCTTTAAAGGCACATCACGTGCGATTTACGTTATCAAGGACCCCGTAATAAACAGTTATGAACCCAGAACCAATTTTATGTAAGTTTAGAAAAATGTTTTAAAAACCAATAGATAAGGACCCCCCCCCATCAGTAAATCTTGGGTTAACTACACACAATATCCAACAGAATTGATAATCAACATAAAAATCTGAAGATTCAACTTTCTTTTATCACTCGAAGAGAACTATAATGTACTTATCATCACCTCGCCAAATCATCAGAGGGGATACATCATCACCTGGTTGCCACCATCACGAAGAAGCAAGCAAATTTCAACCTGTAAAATAAAAATTTCTTTAAGAAAAAAATCCTCATCTATTATCAACTTCTAATTAAAGCAAATTACAACTAAAGCTTAAATTAAATAGCATAGTTTGTATAACGTACTGTTCTAACTATGAGCATAAAATGTAATAAAATACATACAACGATTAGAATCCATTTATTTAATAGTATCCTCTTTCATTTACGTACGTTCTTGATACGGGTTTAAAAAACTGAAAAAAGCTCACTTTAAGCCTAGACTTATAACTGTTTCACAAAATATTTCAACTATGAACACAACAATAAATAAAAGATTAATACATTAACTGAAAATTAGAAATAATACTCAGAAATGAAATGCATGTTATCAAGAAACTAATTATGTCCAGTTAACCAAGATCTAAATGCGTTAATACGTGGGAGCTGGGTCTAATACATTATCTGCTCTATCTGAATATATAAAATCAAGATATGCCATTTTAAAATTTATGTTATTCTCACATCAAACCACCGACTACAACAGATTTGAAGTGATTGTTTCTCATCCTCAAACTAATTCACACAGAAGACAATTCTTTTACAATAAACAATACCACATTATTAATAATTCAGTAAAAAAACTTTTGTAATTGCTCACCCAAAACCTGTGAAATTTTACGAGAAGTTGCAGTTACAAAGACAACTTTTTTGAAGTTTTACGTTACTTTTTGTTCAACTGCTACTTCAAAACTCGAAGTTTCCATTTTAAGAACAAGGTGATTAACCATAACTACTCTCAACAAAACTAACGATAAGTCACCCAATAATGACATGAACCTTGCTACCATGTTACACTGTCTCCCACTTCACAAGATCACACTCTTCCTGTGAGTAGAAACTCAACAAAACTAATGATAAGTCACCCAATAATGACATGAACCTTGCTACCATGTTACACTGTCTCTCACTTTACAAGATCACACTCAATTATATGTAAAAAAAATTAATCATAAGCTTAGGGTTATTTACCCACTCAATACAAGTATATATTATCTAAAACAATCTATACTACTACTACAAACTGATTGTTTGTAATATATCACAATTACAGGTTGACACACTGACATGGCCTTTATATAAACTAAAGTATATCATGATCAATCAATTTCCTTAGACTGTTAAGAGTTATTAACACTATTATTAAGTATTTGTATTTTGTTTCCTTGTGAAACATAATTGTAATATGCTAGTTTACTATCGCAAAATTTACGTGTTTCTGACTTAGTTTTTAAATTAAAGTTAATTTTCACTCTCCAAAGCCAGGAGAGATTGATGATTAATACTAATAAGTAAATCTTTAAGACACTGGTCATGAATTTTGTTACCACTAACAGTAATAAACTAAAATAATAATATGGACTAAATAAAATTAGTTGTTGCTAGAATATTAATATTATTATCTAACCTAACCCAAAACGCCATTACTAATACCACGGAGAATACTACAAATTTCGGAGAAAATTAAACGGAAAAATTAGCAAGATAATAATAGAATATGAATTTTATCGTCAGCATCGATATTATAAATATTAGAAATAAACTCAATGTCTTTCCCTCTCCAGACTGCAACCAATAATTAATATTATCTAACCTAACACGACACGCCATTACCATAGAGAATACCACAAATATTCGAATTGAAATTAAATGTTCCCGTACAACTTCAGATGCATGAAACAAGATTCATATTTACACGTGACTTATTTCAAACAAATAATAATAATATAACCTTGTATTTCAAAAGCTACTTAAAGATGCGAACGGATTTTTATTATATTTACCATTTTCCCATTATAGTTCATCACACCACGAGTAATCAACGTCTCTCTAGCCGCTTACTACACGATAGCGCCCTCTCTTCTGGAAATAATGACATCTTTGGAAATTATTATTTCAAATCAAAATACATTTATAATATATTCATCTCAAATTATATATTTCAAACTAAAATAATACTAATTATGTGTTATATTATAAATAAAAATACCACTTATAAAGTTCAATAACAAAATCAATATATACACCGGACAGTTTTTGTTTTGTTTAAATACATTTTCTAAAGATAAAATGCGTTGGTTATATTTCTAACTATAATAACTCTTTTATAAATTAAATATTTTCTTTTTGAATGTCTAATTTTAATGAGAAGTGAATGAAATGAAAACACTACATTATTTATTCTTTAAACCAAGATCTCTCTTTTCTTTCTCAAACTATCAAATCAGAACGATCCACCTAAAACAAAACAATTTAAGTTCATCATCGGGAAAAACAACAAGAGACATCATTTAGGCTCGGTTCTAAATGTCTACTTCCGTAAACTCTTCTTTATGTTTAACGGTGTTTGTTAAACAAAGACTGCTTTTCATGTTTGTGTTTGAACAACATAAGTGCTGTATTTTCAGTTTTCAAGAAGGATTTAAATTCTGTTTTAGTTCATAAAGCTTTTAAAATAAAATAAAAAGTACAGATTTGACGTTCCATCTAAAAGTTGATAATCTCAAGAATTATCTAAAGAATAACTTTTTCCTGAAAACTTAATTAGCAGGATCATTAAAAAAATACTTACGAAAAGTGAGCATTGCCAATGCACAAATGTTTCATATACGCAAGTTATTGATAATAATAGTCTAGCCATTTCTGTGATCTACACTTTAAAGGATTTTTTCAAGCTCAACAATTCGGTTCCAACACTATGACTGTTGTATATTGTATAGCAGAGAAGATAATAGTACGATTATTACCAATCAACAGTCAGGTTGCCATCATTGACTATAATACCATTAAACTTTCACTGATTGATATCACTTCTGTATAACAGAGACGGCTGGTATGGGTATTAAAAACTTTAATTAAAATAAAGTATAAGAACAACGTTTCGACCTTCTTGGGTCGTCTTCAGATTAACAAAGACAATTTGAAATTGGCCGTTACTGGTCACATGTCTTAGGGACGAGAGTGTGAACAGGTACGAGATTATAGGGGGCGTAGCAGTGATATGTTAGGTGATTAATATATGTATAAAGGCGTTCCTTTATGTTGGTTCAAATTTGATTTGAGTTCTTGTATAAGTAGGGCTTCTTTGATTTTTCATTTGTTTGTCGTATGTTTCTGTTTATTTTAATTAAAGTTTTTAATACCCAAACCAGCCGTCTCTGCTATACATGTTTACTTCAAGTGGGTTTCTTGTCATCATTAATTACTGTTGTATATTGTTTAAAAATCTCCAGGTTTATATTTACAACGCTAGAAACCGGGTTTCGATACCCGTGGTGGGCAGAGCACAGATAGCCCTTGTTTAGCTTTGTGCATAATTAAAAACAAACAAACAAACCAGGTTTATATTAAGTACATGGTACGACACCTAGCGAGTTGAATTAAAACCTTCTGATAAGGAACGAAGGAAATACTTCCGATATTTATCTATATTTCAACAATATATGTAACGAGACGCACCTGGCAATGAAAACTTCGACGTTCTTAACGATTCTATGTTCAGCAGAGAATGGTGCGGATACAGGAAATTTTATTAATTAATCAGAAAGTTGAAAGCCTAAATGTCAGCTCTTCGTTTTATCAAAAAAAGTGTTTAAATTTACAGGTATTCTTTGAACTATAAGGAGGAGATTCAAAGAGAAGACTAGCCATTTTTTTCTCTAACTTTCATCCCTGTCGCGCTTTGTTCAAAACAGAAAAGTATACGCGAGTTTAAATTACCAGTATCTGAATAGTGATATCAATTATAATCTTCTGAGTATCTCTTGAGGCTGATTTCTTACCATGATGTTGATCTTCAAAAACTCATTATTATTAGTTTTTTATGTCTTAATTATTAGCTTTCTGGCTAAGGTAATCCTAAGCCTATAATAAACACATGTATATATATATATATATATATATTATTTTCTTATAATCCTCGTTATTTGAACATGTTTACATTTCTCTTCAAATTTTCCATTACAAGACAGACCGTTTTCTATTTCGGCACATTTATCGTAATTAGTGAATTTACCAAAAAACAAAAAATATAATAAGTCCTCTTATACCCAAAAAAAAACGAATCATTAAAATGTGTATCCTTTACGAAAAAGCAAACAGCAAGTAGATATTTTTGCTATATATCGATTCATTTCCTTCGAGCGTTTGAATACGGCTTAATTAATATTTTGTTTTACATTTTTAGATAGACAGATAATTTATTACTTTGTTTTTGTTTTTTTTATTCTTATGAAGTTGCTCAATAGATGGCACTTAAAGTGTACATTAAAACTCGGTTGAAGAGAAAAATAAAAGAGTAGAGAGTTAAGAGTATAAAACGGAACGGAAGCTTTTAATCTTAGAAAAAAATAATGAATTTAAACTGTTGTCTTGTAACATACTGATTCATAGAGACAAAATATTGTATCTGTAGAATTAATTGTAGACTGTTGTCCTGATAATGTTGACTTGTAGTAAAAAAACGTTGTCTTTGTAGAATTAATTATATACTGTTGTCCTGATAATGTTGACTTTCAGGGACAGAATATTGTTTCTTTGTTTTTGTTGATAAGCACAAAGCTACATAATGGACTATCTGTGCTGTGTCCACCATGGGTATCGAAACTCTACCACTGTGTTAATTGGGGGAGGGGGAAGAGCTACAGAATGTTTCCTTGTAAAATTAACTTAGATTACTGTCCCTGTAAAATGTTGATTCGTAGCAGTAAAATACCATCTTTATAAGATTAACTGTAGAAAGTTGTTCCGATGACACGTATTGACACAAATTTATTTTTATGAGGTTAATTGTAGCTAAGATACTGCATAAAAACAAACAGTTTATTAACAAGATTACTCTTATAACTTTTAAAAACAGTTTATTAACAAGATTAATCCTATAATTTTTAAAAACAGCTTATTAATAAGATTACTCCTATGATTTTCGACCATGATTATAAGTTTTAATCACTCCAAACGACTTGTCGATTTTATAAACATTTTGAAAATAACTCATATGTTACAGAAGTCGTTTTGTCGAGCACAAACTCAAAATATTAATATTTATCATCCAATCAAGAAAAAGATTAAAAAAAAGTAAACTTAAGTATTAAGAAACACAGACTGAACTTCACACTGAATGTTTTCTCTTTTATAAAATTAATGAATATCTGGATCTTAAAACTGTTCAAAAGGGGAAATATGACAGAAGTTTATTTGTTGAATTTCACCCAAAGTTACTCGGGAGGCTATCTGTGCTAGGCGTCCCTAGTTTTCGAGTGATACACTAGAGGGAAAGCAGCCACGCGGTATTTAAAATAATTGTGGAAACGGTAAACAAAATGGGTGAAAACTACAAATATAATGTTTCAGTAAGAGCTCTGTGGAAACTCTGAAAAGGGCAAATGAAACTTGTGCTGTTAATAATAGAAGTAGTCAAAGCGAAAAACCTAAACTCTTCAGTAAAGATTTTTGCCAGTGAGCTAGCTAACTGTAAGTACATGTGTGAATGTTATCTCCAGAACAATATGCACGAACTGGCCTGGTTGAATGTGTAGCTGCTCAGAAACTACTGCTTATTTAAGACATATAACCAAACCAAAAGGCTGAGATGGGAATCAGGCTGTAAATAATGTGATGACCAAAGCTGGAATGTGTGCTCTCTACAAATGAGTCCTAATTCAATTTGTTTGTAAACAATCAAAGATAGTGGCAAAAAATGTCATCATTGTCAAAAGTACAACATTTATAGTGAAGTATGCTGGAAACCAATACAACTGTGAGCTGAATTTCATCTAATGGTGTTTGAGGTTCACAATAAACTGATGGCACCCTGACTGCTGACAGAAACAGGTAGGTTATTTGGAACAAGACCTTTAGAGCAGAGATTTATCTTCCGGTAAGACATGCAGCCAATGTAGTGAAACGATACCTGGTACACTGTTTAACTTATTACTTCTCGTTTCTATTTTTTCCAATAATATATTGTACTAATAATAAATTAAACATTTAATTACTCATTGCCTTTGTGACTTCCATATTTGTATCATTTGTAAAAGACCATAATTATTTCCAATACTGTATGTATATAAATTCTCATCATATGCTATAATTTGTTGCTTATTAAATTTATGTTGGATCTTTGACTTTAGTAAAAAAAAAACAACTTATAATCTTCAAATTCCTTTGCTCATTCTAAACTATGATATTACCGAAAACACGAAATTTCCTTTCATTATTCAAAGAGTTTACTTTTAATTTTCAGAACTGAGCATGGTCTTAAAGCTAGCTTGCTGCCTGCATATCGTAGAGTCTAAGGTTTGAGACGCCATGCCGCTGAATACATTCTACATTTTTGGATATAAGCACGTTATAAAAGTAACAGCCAAATCCAACATTTGAATTAAAAAACTGAACGAAATCCTTCAAACGACGAATACTGCTGGCTGTTCCTCTGGTCACTAGCTCAAAAATATGAACGGCTATACCTGGACTAGTGGTTTCTGACCTGGCCCAAATACGCATGAGGTATTGTTTACATTGAAAATGTCGTGTGTTTTTTTGTTGTTTTTTTCCACCAAGTTCATTGAAAACAAACGTTGATATTAATACAATATAGTATAAAAGTTTGAAACAGATTACAATAACATTCCCTCACTTACTTACATGAACATTATAAATAGAAATATTAAACAGCGTGTAAGACAGAACTATTTAATTTCAAAGGATTGCCGGAAGTTTTATGTTTGTTTTTTGTTAAGAAGAAAGCTAAACAGCGGGCTATCTGTGTTGTGCCCACTGTTAGTATCGAAACCCGGTTTTCAGCAATATATATGTCTTGAGACTTACCGCTAAGCCATTGGAGGGAGAGAGGGGCA